AAGCGTGTTTCCCTCTGGATTGTTGTAACAAGGATAACAACCGTAAGCGGCCCAAAAACCTGTTATCACAATGAAGATTTTTAAAACTTAGCCTCTTCACTTAGGTGTCACTGAAAGGGGACAAAGGATTAACACAACAACAGATCATTTAGAGAATTATCTTTTGGTGTATTAAAACTATTACATACGTTTTTGTTAACTTGTTATACTAAGAATACGTTTTTGCTAAGCACTCTCAACTGCTAATTGTTTTGAACCGTTAAAATTATTAAAATGTAAAAAATCCTCTGTATGAGCATAAACCGAGCATTTTAGTGACTTTTATTGGTGGAAACCGAGCACTTTAGTGGAAAAATGGAGCATTAAGGTGGAACATTTTAGTGGGGAAATAAAAGCATAATGTACAAAAGCCTAGATGAAATGAAGCCTAGAGGGGGCTCAATTCATTGGCTTGTTTGAAAGTGAAGCATTATGGGCAAGATCAGCACCCTCGTGCCCAGGGTCTTCTGCAGGTTTCAAAATGGCGGGCTTACCGAGCTCACTCACAGAAACAGTAAGCAGCAAAATAAAGATTGACGGAATTTTATCGTTAATGGAAGTGATCTTAAACAGCCATCAGAACATATTTACGACATCCAATTCCGTTCATCGATTCTTTCTTAATCAAGGTTCGTTTTGTCAGCCACAAAGGGTAGAAGTCTAAGACCCACGATCCAGATGTTGATAACGCTGGTTGATTTCAGTGGTTGATATACAGGTTAACTATGGATTTTTTTGGTTTGCCAGGAGGAAACCAAATAGTTTCATTTAAATCTAGAGGCAAAAGTTAAGTGAGGCAAACGAATACGAAAATGAATCATTTCACGCTCAATGTACTTGCTTGTAGGGCTACTGGCACCAACTTTGATGACTCGCTTCAAACAGTCACGCGCCCGTCATTCAGTCACGCGCGCTCCGTGCAGTCACACGCGTGTTGACTCATTCACACCGCGTGCGTATACATCGCACTGATGAGTTAAGAAACGTGGTTCACTCTCAAGTATTCTCTCTTCTTCCTTGAGCCAAACAATCGG